ATGCTAATTGGCAAGTGGAATAAGCAAACGCGATGGAGGACGGGACCACAGCCTGTGAGATTTATTTTGACGGCTTTGCAACCGTCATAATTGACGAGAACTTGAGCCGTGTGTACTAACTTTGCACCCTGCGGGACAGAGTTGAAAATACAGCCAGTCTGTAGTGGACACTGCCAGCTTCAACAATGAGGGTGATGGTCAGTCCGCGGTTAATTTCACATTTAAATAGGTGAGTACGTGGTCTGCGGTTTGGGGAGCATCAGGAGAATAGAATTTTTGAGGGTAAAGTTATGGCGTTTCTTGCAAATTATATCTATATTACGAGTAAAACCGTTTCCCCAAACGGTGCCCAGTAAACTCCTGAACATGGTATGTGCTTGTGTGATGTACGACATGATAAGAAATATTGGTTTGTCGGGCAGACGTTCTCCCCAGTCTGGACCCGGTGACAGGGTGGAGCAGAAAAATGCTCCCAAATGCTCGCTGGAATCAATCCCGATTTTGACGTTCAATTTTCCCTCCCTTACTCGTGCGAATCGGCATTACGAAGGGGGCGCCGCGGCCAGGTCCTCCTTGGGAGCCGTGACCTTCTCGGCGTCAGTGTACTCGGGCAGCTCAGTGTCGGTTTCGGGGGGGATGACGTCGACGTTCTCGAGCTCGAGCTTGAAGCTGGGAACCGACTCAAGGGCCTGGACAGTGCCGTCGTGCTGTATGCAGGGTTAGCCTTCTATTTCAGGCGGATGGGAGGGTGGCTCAAGAAGACCAAAAGAAGGAAGGAAAACATACCTTGGTGATCTGAACGCGCAGGGCGGCAAGGAGATCGCTGACGACAACCTTGGTCTCGGTGTCGGCGAGCTCCACAGGGTCGGCAGCCTTGTCGAGGGAGAACTTGCCGTAGAACAAACCCTGGGCGGGCTGCTTCATGACGATGAAGTTGCCGACGCTCGTGACGTTGGCGAACAGCTCGATGGCGCAGGGCCTCTGGAGCTCCTCAACATTGACCTTGATCTGGGCGAAATAACGCGTCACCTCCTCGTTCTCGCGCTTGCGGACCTGGGGGCGGGCCGCGCCGGTGGCGTAGTACTTGTTGATGAGGGCGGTGGCGTCGCGCTGGAGCTGGCCGTCGTTCTTCTTCCAGTACTCGAGTCCCTCGTAGGTGTAGCCGAAGCCGCGGATGGAACGGACCGAGTTGGGCGTGTGGAAGCGGCCGGGCGCGGCGAAGAAGGGCTGCAGAGGGCTGTTGGGGCCGATGGAAGTGCCGCCGGGGGGTGCTGAAGCGGGCGCCGCCGCTGTAGGTGCGGGTCAGGGTGGCCTGGTCGGGGCGCATGAACTGGCGGTAGGCCCAGAGACGGTCGACATTGGCGTGGTGAAGCATGAAGAGGGGGTCAAAGGCGGAGTAGTCGGCATCGAGGAACTGGAAACCGCAAGAACCATCCCAGTGGACAGCGTTGTGGATCTGCTCGAGCGAGATGCCGGAGCTGCCGGTCGAGGCAAACTCCTCAAAGCTGGCCGAGCGCGTCATGGCATCGTAGGTCCACGACCTGTACGAACGGCGGGCCATGGCGGCGTTGGCCGAGTTGGGGTAGTTCTGGGGCGCGCGGCACTTGAAAACCTGGGCATCACGGGAGAAAGAGCCGAACCTCTGGTCGATCGCAGACTGAGGGAAGCGGTAGTAGCGCAGCGGGTTCGAGATCTGAATGGTCCTCAAGCCAGAGCCGTTGGGAACGCGGACGGGCAGCGTGTTGGGGACGGTGACGGGAGGCACGCGGGCATCGTATCCCCAGTCCCAGAAAGGAGCGCGCAGGGTCTGGGCGGCCTTGACGTAGGTCGCGCGGTGGGCAGCGGGGTACTGGTTGGCAAGCCTGATGGCGGTCTCGACTAGACGTTGCTGGAGGGGACGTGTCAGTGAGCAGGCTTGTGGAAGAGTGTGAGACCAGACCGGGGTATACATACCTCGAAGGCCAGCACGTAGGGGCGGTGCCACGGGAGGAAAAGGGCTTCCTAAGAAGGCACACACTGGTCAGCCGGGAATGTTCGCTCTAGCGCGCTGTTGTTGATGTTTAGACCTACACCGTGGGGGCAGTAGCCCTGCCATCCATTGGTGTTTCTCCTGCCGGCGTTGTTCCATTCGATGTAAGGCCTGCCGTGAATGCCTTTGTGATGTCAGTTTAGGAATGTTCATTAAGCTTAAGCTTGTATTAAAGTTTGGCTTACCGGCGATCTGAAAGTATGACAGGCGGTTGTTGGCATCCTGAGCATAGAGGTCTTGCAGAGATCGGAGGTAGAGATCCCTATTTCGGAAGAGCTGTCAGTCTCTCTGGAAGGTCTTGGCAGAAGGATAAATTGGGGTGCATGAATGCAGATTGGACTTACCAGGGAGCTCCTCCGTTCTTGTACAGGATGTTGATGTTTTTCCTGTAGGGAACCGCGCTGCCGGCGGCAACCTGAACACCGGTGATGGGGTAGGCCTGAGAGGCAACGAGCGACGCCAGTGCGGCGAGCACCCAGACGGTGAGGGAGAATCGCAGCAACATGGTGATAGTGTTCGGTCAGATCAGGTCGAGGTCTGATAGATCTGGACTTGATCGCACTAATCGAACTGAACGAGAGCCAGAGGAATGCATGGGCAAACGTGGGCAAGGAGAGGTTATATTGCCTCGAAGGGGGTGTCAACCCAATAGTGTGAGCCACCATGGGCAAATGTTCCGCCCCAGGGTGTCTCCAAGAAAAGGACAAGGGCGCGAACAGGCCTGGGCCCTGCGAATCGCGCCGTCCGGATGCCTAAAAGCCAATCGGTGAGCGTGAGCCCCTGTACCTGAGTCCAAGTACGTGAGTTAGCGCCGGGGGGCTGAGTCGGGGCCGACCCAAAGATGCTTAGTTTGTCCCATCTGGGGCGTGAAGGCTGTGAAGGCTTTCCCAAGTCGCGTATCGGTAGGGTCAGGGGTAGTGCATGGCCTCGAACCGGGCTTGCCTATTTCCAGCTGAGGGAGATGAACGGATGGTCGTCCGCTGACAAGCGCCACGAAGCGGCATTCGCTGTGCCGGTCGCCTGGCCATGTCATCAATACGAGATGGGATGCAGCTGTGTGTCCGGCCTATGTGCTGCATGGTCTGTCATGGTGTGGCAGCAACAATTGTGTGTCTTTTATTTGTTCGTCTTGCGTCTGACGCCCACTCTCCCACTCTCCCACTCTCTGCCATCTTCCAGAGCTGACCAGTCTCGTGGATTCTCTGACGCCGACCCGCGCGATTACCGGCCTCTAGCGGATGCCGATCCTCGCGCTGGCGGACGCCCTGGCTTAGCCCTAGCGAAAGGGGTTTCTCATAATACGAGTCTCGCTAACATTCGTATGGCGCCCGGGCCCCCCCTTCCCCCCCCCCCTTCAAAAGATCAACTCATGCGAGTGTGTTGTCAGCGGGACAGCGACACAGCATCCGGCCTTCCATCCCCCTAAGAATCCTTGCTGTGTGCCCACTCTTTCTAGCTACGTTGCTTGGACATCGTCCGATCGGTCGCTCGAGGAAGCCCGGGGCACAGCTGGGGTTCTGGGCTTCTGTGGACCAAAGAACAACCAAGGACTTCGGATGAATCGAAATCATAAGACGACAGACACCCAGCCGCTCCGCTCGTAAACGCACGCAGCCACACGTTTATTCTCCTAGTCGTCTGACCAAACCTGACCTCTCTTGACCAACGCAGCCATCATGTGTCGTGGTTTGACCAAGGCGCTTTCGCACTGGTCGGTCGAACCTAAATGCCACCATCCAAGAAGCTCCATTACGCAATAGCCAGCTTTTCTTGGTTGGAATGCAAGACCCGTGGCAAAGGGTAATGATGAAGAAGAAAAATAGCCTGTCAGGCACACCGTTGGTAGTCTGGCCGGATTGCCGTGATTACCTTCATCCCTAGCATGCATGTCTCATGCTGGGGGAGCCTATGAGCCCTACGTGATTGTGCGATTTGTACAGGAACACCCTCCCTTCCGAACTGCGACAGCCGCCAGTGGAAGAAAAGGAACAACTTTCAGGTACCCCGAGCAGCACGTCAGAAAATAGTCCAAACCAAACATCCTGATCAAAAAACATACAACACCAGGGATTCGCTGGTGGTCACCCACCCGACTACTGGTCCGGCCCTTATTGGTTTATCTAGGGGAGAGCGGACGGGATCCCGAGGTTTCCAATAGGTATGGTCGTATGTGCTTGGGAGAAGCCATTCCCAGCATCATGTTCGCTGTTGAAAGGCGTTGTTCGGGGCGCGCGTCAGCCGCAGAGCCAAGAAAACTTCTTTGTCCCCAAGAGGCGGGGGAGCAGCCCTGGGCCACTCAAACTCTCCTACCAAGGCACAGTCGATCTCCCCCTAAACAATAGCCTTCAGCGAGTCGTTAGTGCCGCCCAGCGCTGACTTTGGCATCTAAGCGTTATGCTTCATCTTCACCGTCGAGCTAGCTTAAGTTCAGGGGCTTAAGGCTGAAAGAACCGAGAGAGGGGGAACAAAGGACTGGTTCGTGCGACCTGTTGTGGAGAGTGCTGCGGAACGGTTGTGCGCCCGAAGCTGGACTGTCCAAAATAAGCACATGCGGCTGCTTGGAAGGGCGGTGGTTGGGCAGACCTAGGAAGAGGGTGGGTGGAAAGGACGTCTGACACCTCGTATCCGTTGCATGATGTGTGATGGTTGGGCTGAGACGGATTTTCGTTGTTCTCGCCAATGGATTTCTGCCTGCTTCGGCACTGCCACTGCGCAACGTTGTGCATGGCGTTGACCCGGACGGACAGAAGTAGTGGCGTTGGATGCTTGCAGCCTCTGCGTGAAGTCAGAATAAGTTTGTTCTTTGAAATGGTTCCAACGCACGGCACGTGTTTGGGAAAGCATGTTGGTCGCGGGCATTACATGTTGGTTGCCAGTGCCGCGGTGTTGGGAACGCGATTCTTTGGCTCGGTTGGTTGTCTCGATCGAGCCAACTGCCCACACAGCTAGGGACGGGTAACATTCCCCGCCCGAAAGAAAACTGTTCTCATCGAATTGTTTTCAGCTAACCTTCAATAAATCCTGGTGTCTTGGCAGTTGCGATTTCCGGTCAATTGGAACGACTTGCCTGTCGCGTGATGGACCAAACCAACAACTCTGGGGCGGTGACATTGTTCTTGACACCTGCATGGCGTTTTCAGCTCCCATAAGTTACACGTGAACCAATGAGCTATCCGTCTTCTTCGTGTCGTCGAAAAGTTTCCGGATTTAGCTTTTTTGATTGAGTCTCGGGACCGTTCGTGTCATCATTACTGCGGTGTGCCAAGCGTCTGCTGGACACCGCCCACGAGATCGGGCTGGTGCGGTTAACTGAGGAGAACAACAACATGTCGAGTGAATACACAGCTGCTCTGCGGTGCTTCCTTCTGGACTTGGATACGTGTGCAACAAAAGAACCCGCGGGAGTCTCACGTGAGAGTCAGGATACTCTCGAGATGAGCTAGCTACACAGCAAGCAATGAATTGTCCATGACATTGTGCAGTATCGACTGTGGCCCCGTGCTGCCCATATCTCAAAAGCTCCGCCTCTCATGACGTTGAAGTCCGAATGGACTGCGACGTAAAGAAGTAGAAGCTTCGTCAGAGGTGTCCCAGGGTCCTATGTACCGTGTAGAAAGGCCCATAGGCTATGGACCATCAAATCCTATGTGCTCAAGTGTACAATTTCAAAGTTCATATCTTGACATGACTCCCTACAAGCAAAATCGTTGAACAGTGGTATATGTTCGCTTCTTGGTGCTCATCTCCAACACAGCCCTGCCCCTCAACGGCCAATCCATCTACTGGTCGTCGTTGATGTCAACCGCCGTCTTTGTCCACTTACGTGCCGGAACGCGACGCTTAAATAGAATGTCGATCTCGCGGTATGAGCGCCCCTTCATCTCCGGCAAATAGAAATATGCCATAATCAAGCAAAACAGACCTGTGCCGCCCCAAACATACCCGCACTTGCCGCCAAGGTTACCAGACTACCACCCACAGTCAGAAAACTCATCATCAGTTGCCCTTTTTTCACAAGAAATAACTTACTTTGGGATTAAGCATGTAGCTTGCAAGAAAAATGCACGGGATGTTGATAACATAGTAGCAACCGCGGCCGATACCTGTAGTCAGGGGCCTCAAGCGAATCGCCGACGTCTCGCCAATAATGACCCATGACGCGGGCGCTGGGCCGAGCGTGAAGAGAACAGATACAATGAGGCCAAGCGACGCCTGCGCCAAAGAGGCGGCAGTCGACTTGCCGAAGGAGGCGGCAACGCCGAGGGCGACGAGTAAAACGACATTGAATGCGGAACCCCAGAGGTAGATCGTGCGGCGGCCGAGATAAGTAGTAAGAATCCAGGAGAGCATGACCATGACGGTTTGCAAGGCCGAGGTGATAAGGCCCATCGCAAAAGCGGTGTCGGTGCTCATGCCAGCCTCTGTGAGAGCCACGTTAGAACCAACATGTACCACAATGGCGGGCTGGGGTTTGACTTACGTTCGAAGAAATAGACGGCTTGGTTCGCGATGAGGTTACCAGTCAGGTTCTGCGCCGCATACACACAGCAGACAATCAGAGTACGGTAACAATCAGTACCCTTGAACAGCTCGAGGTGGTTGGGCTCCTTTTCAGTCTTCTCGAGCTCGATGGTACGACGCATCATAGCCACCGACTCTTTCAGGTTAACGGCCACAGACGTACGTCCCAGGCGTTGAACAGAACGCTCAGCATCTTCGAGACGGCCCCTACGGACGAGCCACCAAGGGGATTCGGGGGCAATCCAGATGAGAATGGCGAGAGGCGTAGGGAACATCCACTGTAGCGCAATAGGGACCCTGCAGTGATTTTTGATTAGCAACCACTAGCTGACCTCTTATGCTTGGATGAGGCAGAAGGAATGTACCTGAAGGCTGTCTCGCTGTCAAGCGTGTTATAACGATAAGTAACAGCACCGACGATAATGGCACCAATAGCCCAGAACATCTGCAGCATCTGAGTGGCTGGGGCTCTCAGCCTCATAGGCACGATCTCACTGCAATAGGCGGGGGCATTTGCAATAAAGATACCCCATGGTATACCCTCTAGTAGCTGAGAGGCCAGAATAACGGGCAGCGAGTTTGCGAAATAGAAGACGAAGATGAAGGCGTTGAGGGCCATAAGCCCAGAAATAGTCGCCCAGCGGTATCCAATACGGCTCGTCAGGGGGCCGGCAAGGCACACACCGATGATAGCACCAAGGGGACCGCCAACCTGAAGGGCAGACTGCCACTTGGTTTCGATGACCATCTTACCAGTCGCTTCGTTTAGAACGCCAAATTGAGCGGCGAAGGCAGGCAGCGCAATGAAGTTGCCCATCAGGAAGACGCAGTAAGACTCCATGATCTGGAAGACACCGTGTTAATTGGATGTGTTCCTGTAGCCCTGTGTCAATAGAAGACCTCAGCCACGTACGATAGTGCAAGACATTGTGAAGGCCCAAAGAGAAGCCATGGGGTAAGCCTTCGCAGCTTCGAGCACGCCCATTTTGTGCTCCGTGTTCTCTGCTTCAATGGCGTCAGCCCTGTAGTCGGCGGCTCGAGCCTTTTCGTCGATGTCGTAGGCATGCTCGACGGTAGCTTTGTGTCCCTCCACCTCGGGATCGCCGCTGGGCGGCTTGGTATCAACGGGATTGCTCATGGTGTGTATCACGTTTGTCTGGAGTGAACGAAAAGGGGGAGACGTGGAGTAAAAGAGAACAGGTCCGTCCGGGAGTGTTCGTAGTGATGCTTTTTGTAAAGTTGAATCTGCTCCTTCTCTCCGGACTTATGCCTTGAATCAGATCGCAGTTGAAGTGGGCCAAAGATGGACCAAGGGGAAACATGGTGAGGGGCCGTCCCATTGCTGCTCTGCTGAACCCCAGGTCAGGCTCCGACGTCGTCCATCAACCTGCTTGAAGTGCCGTCACACACTGTTCGTGTCTCCACCACGAGGCTAGCGTTGTAGTAGAGTCGTAGGCTTCCGCAGTGTGTATAGACGCACCTATGACATGCCAAGGCAGCATGAAGGTACTTTGCAAGGAAGACCTATCATGCTCTGCACCCGAAAGCTTAACAGGGCATCGCCGGCATAGTGTACGTGGCATCCCATCCGGCGGCCCGCAACATTCCCCGCAAGAGGGTACAGATCAGGGCACGACTACGGCGCCACTCGGGCATTCGGCCGCACCAGGTTATAGCGGCTGGTAGGGCATGACTTGGTTCTATCACTAGTCACGTCCATGGACTCTGGCCGGCCCCAACTTCCCCGACTTCCCCGGCATTCTCCAGCCCACCTCCGCGTCTTTGTTTTGCGCTTTTTTCGCAGCATCAATGGACCGAGCAAGAGTGTCGCGTCGGCACAAGTTTGCCGTTTGAAAGGCTGACGACACGCCTTTAAAAACAAGTTCTTAGGCTTCACGTGGTATACGTAGCGCTAAAGGCAAGATTAGGCAGGAGAGCGAGAGATTAGTAAATGCGACACAGACGTGTGCCAACAAGTCCACTGTATATACCAGCAAGATTTCTTCGAAAGGCCATGTCAGCGAGCACTCGGTTCATCGTCGCTCGCCATGCTGATTCTCATAGTATCCAGATCCCAACACATCTGTCTGCAACGTGTGTCCTCTGAAGTCCGGCATTCATACCTTGCCAAGGCATGCCAAGAAAAATCGATCGCCCGTCCTGCATCGTTCCCCTTGAGCCGCCATCTGACATTTACGAGCCGCAACGACCCTTGTAACGGAACGCGCCGGACGCGATGCCAGAATGAAGACGACCGCCGACAAGTTGATGACGACGACCTAAGCTGGCTGCCAGCACCATGTGCATATGACGGCAGCGATCTGCGCATCGGCTCGTCTTGATCGAGCCTTTGCCCCGCGGCTGCGGGGAACGGCGTTACTCATATTTTCAGAGCTTGTAGCTCGCCCAATTTCATGTGGCAGAGGGACTCGGTTGGCGGCCCTCGGCTCTCAAGTCCAGTCTCCGCACCGTCGCTCTTCCTGTCATTTCATCATTGTGTGTTGGCGCTTTCCCACACTTTCTGGCTGTTTTGGTGCTAGGAGATTTGAACGGGTCGTGATTGTGTCCACAGGTACCTTGAGCGGCTTAGTGGGTTGTAAGTATCGTCTGCTAAGTCACTGGTGTAATAATATCCGACGGGTCAAGCGTCTGGCGGGTAGAGACTGTATGCAGCTATACCAGCTAATAAGAAAGTGCGCAAGTAAGACGGCGAGTATTTCTAGCCTCGAGATTTACTGCTAGGGATTCCTAAATCTCGGCACGTGTCCGACACCATACTATTATTCTCCCTATATCATCACTCCTGGAGTAGGAGATTACCACATACGACCATACCTATTGGAAACCTCGGGATCCCGTCCGCTCTCCCCTAGATAAACCAATAAGGGCCGGATCAGTAGTCGGGTGGGTGACCACCGGCGAATACCTGGTGTTGTATGTTGTCCTGTGAATCTTTTTGCTACATTCGAGGCTGAAGTGAGGTGGGCGACGCATCTGTGGGAGCGAGCCGAACAAGCGCTGAAGAACGGATCTTACAAACCCCAGAGGATCGAGCTAGCACTTAGTCTGAAACTTGGCGGGGGCCATGCTACTAGGTACATATGCACGTGTGCCGAGAGACCGAGATGTACGTTGGAAGTAAAATAACATGATTGCGGCGCTTGCATTGGAGCATCCGTTCCGACACATGCCAAAAAAATGGTGACCACATCTCGTGAGTGGACAGTCCCGAAGCAATAATCTTTCATACTTTGTTCAAGCGTAGCCCGACTTGCACATGTCTCGCGAAGAAGAAGACAACCGCAGACGCGAGCATGGCGAGGCCGCAGAACAGCTGCAAACCTAAATACCTGCCTCCCTGGGACTCGACAATGGCGCTGGCGATGGGACTTCCCGTCAGGGCGCCGAAGGACTGGACAGCAAACGCAGTGCCGGTGCGTATGCCGATCTGGCGGATATCGGAGATTTGCGCGACGAGCGTCGGCGCGAGTGAGGTGAAGCTACCGGAGGAGAAGCCAAAGAGGATTGTGAAGGCAATGATGGCTGTGTTTGTCTTGCTGGGGATCCAGATGGAGAGGGTGAAGACGGCGGCGAAGGTGACGATGCAGATCATGACGTTGTAACGGCCGAACTTGTCGGCGAGGATACCGGGGAGAATGCGCCCAACGATGCTGACCATTGTTATCCCCTGGTGCTCCAATTCAAGAGGTTCATATACTTGTAAACAAAGGGAAAAGCTTACCTCACAGCGTGCATAATAGGGAGGAGGTAAATAACCAAACCAGGACTCATGCCCTGCGCCTTGGCCTGCAAAATGATGAAGTTGAACGGCAAAAACATGCCCCAGAAGAAGAGAAACATGCCAAATACGGTTAAAGTCATGGCCGGCTCTCTCAATCCTTGAACGTACTCCCTCAAAACAAGCGGCCTCGGTTCAGGCTGTAAGCGCGACCGCACGGTGCAGCACGAGACGCCCATGAGGGCGAGGAACAGAAAGGCCACGGCGCGAATGGTCCAGGGAAAGCCGACACGGTCAATCATGCGTGATATCATGATGGGTAGGACGACGCCGCCGACAGAGGAGCCGGACATCATGATGCCAAAGGCCGTGGCGCGTTTCTTGCGGAACCAGGATAGGGTCGCGGACATGCTGGCGCTCGCGGCGGCGCTCGAGCCAATGGGGGCCACGATGCTCATGGCGAGGAAGAAGTGCCAGAACTCGGTCGACAGCGAGACCATCATCATGCCAAAGACGTAGGTCAGGGTGCCGCCGACGACGATCCACTTTGGGCCAAAGCGGTCGTAGACGCGGCCGAACTATGCTGTGAGCCAAGACCAAGGCCAGGGTCTGGAGGTGGTGAAGATGCGATGATGCGACTTACGATGACGGGCATAAAGTTCAGCGTCCACAAAAATACACCAGTCACCCACGAAATGGTTGATGACGGATACTCTTTGAGGGCATCGCTGACATAGTAGGCCTGGAACACGCCGACGCTGTTACCGAGCCCAAAGGTGCAGAAGAGGGTACACCATGCTCCGAAGACGGCCGTCCACGCACTGGCGCCACCCTCGTCAAAGTCATCCGGGTCGACGTACGGAGCTTCGGATGGTGGCAATGCATAGCCGGGAGCCGTGGCTACGGGAACAGCGCCCTTTTCGTTGTGCGGCGATGATGCATCGAGGGACTCGGGATACACGGCGGGGGACAGATCTTGATGCCTCGACTGCTGTGCATTCGGCCGAGAGACATTGCCATTCCCGGCTTCAGGACCACTGAGCCGCAATGGTGATAGCCTTTGCATTGTGAGGGGGGGTGACAATTGGCCTGGATCGCTGTCACAAAAGCTAGCCGGGGATATGCTTGCCTGTCGATCGATCAATCAATCATGTAAAGTTTGAGTTGGCATCTGGTGTTTGTCTCACCCATGAGCGCCGACGCAACATTCCCATGCGACAAGGTGATTTCGTCGTCTGTTATATTCCGATAGCCAACAGGCTGTGTGATTCGTGGGGAATACACTCTCCTGTCTTGGGGGGATCAGCATCCCACTGCCAACACTCATTACCTAACTCGGGTTCAATTAGTCCGTGTCGCCGCCAGACGTCGTCCGATGAGGCCGTATCCGAATGTGTAAGAGGGACTTGTTAGTTGGGGTTGATCCTTAAGCAGACTCTTGTCATTACTCGGATGGGACCTCATCTGCTGTCAGGCAAGCGGAATCCATCGGACATCTCGGTCTCGTTGCTGGCTTGTTCAATGAACGACAGTCGCTGTGGATATCGCGCCCAAGGCGTATATGCATGCAAGCCAAGCCTCAATACTCAATCCCCGTCGAATCGTGTTCCACTCCACACCGACGTGTGAGAGACATTGGTCAGCACAGATTCGCGCATGAGCGCAAAGAGTAATAGCTGTGCTCAAGGAAAAAGAAAGCAATTGGTATTCGAAATGTCTAAACCGCCCTGTTCGCTCGTGACTTGTTCTCCCGGTGCCTCTTCTCCTTGGCCGCTGTCTTCTTCCTCTTCATCCACGACTTGTTAAGATCACCCCTGTTCTCCCAGAACCACTTTTGGAAATCGCCCGAGGGTCCGGCAGCGGCAGCAGAAGCCCCCTCCTCCTTGTCCTCGTCGCCGTCGGCCATTGCTGTGTCGTCGGCCTCATCCTCGTCCAATTCGTCGCCTGCCCAGAAATTCTTGATCCTCGAGGGGTGGGCCGTATCAGGGGTCGGTGCAGCACTTCTAATGTTGCGCCACTCGAAGTCCTCTTGCGTGTAGGGTGTCATGGGGATCTGCAGGCTGGGAACTGCGTCGTCCTCCTCAATATCGTCATTGTCGCCGCCACCACCGAAGAAGCTGAAAGGCTGAGACTCCTTGGCCGGTGTTGTCGTCGCATCTTCACCCGCCCGCGCGCGCTTGTAAAGAGCCTCGAGAGGGTGCACCTTTGCTGGGGTTGCGGGCGGAATCTTGATAGTGAGACTATTGCTCGAGCTGGATGACTTGGGCCGCGATGCGTCGCCCTTGAGTGCCGATGCTGGGCTGGGGGCGGCCTCCTCGGTAGATCCATCATCTACTGCAGGGCCGTCCGACACTTCCTCGTCAGCGGAAGAGCCGCTGCTGCTCGTTTCATCATCGCTGGCAGCCGCAGGTGTGACCTTGATACTGAGAGGGCTAGACGTCTGTTTCGCTTTTATTTCTCCTTTCTCCTCTGATGCGTCGTCCTCCTCCGAAGAACTGCCGCTGCTGCTTGTAGCATCATCGTCGACCGGTGCCGGCACGGTAGCCTTAGTGGGGGTCGCAGCCTTCTTGGGTTTTGCGGCAGGGGCCTCTGCTTCCGAGTCGTCATCCTCAGAAGAGCTGCCACTACTGCTCGTCGTGTCATCCTCGACAACTGGCGGTGCTATCGTCTTCTTCTTCTTGCGAGAATCAGACTTGGGCTCGGCCGGCTTGCGGACCTTGACAGCTTCCACGACATTGCCCTCCTCGTCCACCCAGCCCTTGCCTTCGACGTACTCGGCATTAGAGGGCGCTGCATCCGAGGGTTTGCTCGACTTGAGGAAGCTGGGGTACTTGGTCGTGTTTGAGAACTCGTGAATGACCGTCTCGCGTGACTTGCCCTTCTTGCGCTTCTCGACGGGGGCATTGGCCGGCAGCTTCGTCTTGAGCAGACATTCCTCCTTGTCGGTGTACTTTGACCGCTCCTCGCGCTTCTTCTTCTTCTCCTTCTTCTCTTTGCTCTTTTCTTTGTCTTTCCGGTCCTTCTTATTGCGCTTCTCCTTGATCTTGTCCTCGTCTGTGACAGTCCAGCCTCGTTTAACCTTGCGATCTTCAAGCTCGACGCCAGGAATGACATTATAATCGCGCTTCCGCTTCTTGGTCCCTTCGGGGTCGTCGCTCGACTTCGTCTTGCGCTTCTTGCCCGTCTCCTCCTCTTTCGCCGACTCGGCCGCGGGCTCAGGTCTCGCTTTTTCGACGCGCATCTTGGACCCCTTAAGCACGGCGCCGTTCAGCTTCTTCTTGATCTTCTCAGCGTCCATGGCGGGCAGCTCCACAAAGCCGTAACGCTTCTCGGGGAAGGTTTGCAGGTTGTGGAAGGAGATGCTTCGTGCCTTGGGCAGGGCGCTTGCAGGAACGACGACTTTGAGGAGATCGGCGTCAAATGGTGTGATGTGCAGCCTGATATAGGCGTCGGGGTCGGCAGCCGTGGGTGCCTGGTCTCGAGATGCGGGGGCTGCAAGCGAGGGAGACTCGGGCATCGTGGCCACGGAGTTGTCACCTCGCAGTTAAGCGCCGTGGACAACTGGAGGGGGGGACAAGACCGGCAGGGCGGGTGATGAGGTTGTTCAAAGGCAGCTCGAAAGGCTCTGTTGCGCAAGAATTTCATTGGCTGTGGAGGCAGAGCTGATGGCGTGATAAGATAAGCTTTGATAAGTAAGCAACCACATCACTCCCGCGACTCCTGTATTCCCAGGGTCGCCAGATCTACACAATTGTCAAATGGCTGGCTAAGTCTTGATGGTATGAAGATATATGAACTTGGATCTTTTGTATTGTTATTTTAGTATTGACTCTGCGGTGGCTGTGCCGCCTCATTCAGGTGCACTGCACCTTTGGAAGTGGTGACGGGCTTCTTTCCTGCGCCCCGCACCAGCAGTACCTGCCGGGAAAGGAACATGCCAGTTTCGGCGCCAATGTCTCAAGGCCACGCGGACCAGCATTTGCAAATTCTAATCCTGACCATATCGTCTCCGCAAAATTCTTTACCTGTATTGGACGTTATTGTATCCTCATACGACATCACCTACCGTTTGGAGCCTGCTGGCTTATACTCGGTTATTGACATGTCCGACGTCGGCACCGAGGAAGAACGCTTCTACACCGCGAACAATACCCGCAACGAGAGCTTCGCTTCCGAATTCCTCAGTCCTCATGATACCTCCAAACCCTCCGAGTATGTCCTCTTCACGGGTCGCCCTTCTCTGAACATCGCCATTCAGTCATCTCAGAACGAAGGAGTAGGCCGTCACTGGTTCGATAAGCAACGGAAAACATTCAACCTGACTCCTCGGCCGAGAAACACGATTCTATGCAGCCTCATATGCAATGGCCAACCTGAGGACTGCGTCTAGCAGGCTCAGCCCGAAACTCAGTGTCATCGACCCCAAAGATGCATGAGCGTCGATGAGACAGGTGTGCAGGTACACCAGCGTTGCCTCCCGCCTGCCGTTCGTGCAGCAGCGAGCAGAGGATCTCTTCTTGGAGCTTTTGGTCAGGGTACGATGCGTTCGAAACTCAAGCCCGTATTGAAGCTTACGCGAGAACACAACCAGGTGACGCCTGTCTAGCCTCGACCAAAGCTGCCCCAAGCTCGACCGTCAGTGTCATCAATACCCTAGGACAGAACTTGGGATGGTTATCGAGCGATTCTTTGACGGAAAGCCTCCTACATCCTGCTCTGAATATTCTAGAATCGCAATTTCCCCATAGCACCGGCGTCCAGGCCCCTGGAGTGATGCTCGCTAGCCCCGGGGACAGCATTGACCGTGTCAACCCGTCTTTCATCCATGATGCCATCCTCGGAGGCCGAGAGCACCAATTTGATCAGCAATACGTCGAAAGTCCAGAGGCTGGCACAATTAGTGAACCTGTCATTCCGGAGGAACTCAATTTCTTCTTGAACGACAATTCTATTGAGGATATTACTGGACTACCCTGCCATGAGGCGTGCTCATCCCAACACGAGCCACTTGCTCGGATGACGATGCACCCTACCGATACAGCCTTGCCAAATCAGCAGCGCGGGAAGCTCAGCTGTCGTGATGCATCGATCGAGATCAAACATGCCACAGCAGTCGATCCGGCCACGACTATAAGCTTACCGCAGACTGATCTTTCGACCCGAAGTTCTGTCGATGGCCATCTTCACACCAAGGTTCGCACGCAGCTGCCGAACACAATCATACTCTCTCGGCAAAGTGTGACGAGCATCCGCTGGCTAAGCACACCAAATGCTTCGACCTTAACCCTACGAGGTTCATTCGATAATCCGACTGAGCTTCTTGTAGGACATCCCGAAGGCGGGTCCACCGATGCCTCTTCTTCGACAATCAATCCACCCGGAGCTGTGTACAGACTAGGCGACGACAGGGTCAACCTTTGTGACTACGCAATTAGGCCCCGTACCGAGGCGGGCGGAACTAATGACGGCCAAGAAAATGAACGGGAATCTTCCGAAACTTGCAGTCCAATCTCCTTCAAGTCTTTTCCTGCGCTTGGAGTTCGGCAAAGCACGCAAGACTGGTTGAACCCGCCATCCAACATGCCCCTCCAAACCAAGAGTACGAGCAGTCTTTACCACCTCGGTATTGATGCGCGAAGCGGCCATATCTTGCCCCTACCCTCCGTCTTTGTTGATGAACCCATCAAGCCACGACATTGTAACCATGGAATGTTCCACGAAAATATATTTGAGTGTGGCGCTTCTATGCCTGGTAGCCGGCGGGCTACTGAAGTCAACATCTGTACAGTCACAGACGCAAGACCTGAGAGAATGGGAGCTGCCATCGGATCCTCATCCCGTCGCAGGCGGGGAACCATTGATGGCACATCCATCCCACTGTCTGCTCTCCACCAGAAGGAGTCAAGGGCGCCTCATCTCATGGACAGGATTCGAGAAGGGGGCAGGTCGATCACGAGAAGATTGTCTGCTGTTTTCCAAGGAGTTGTGGTGTCGAAAGGCACAAGAGCACCCGCTCCATCAGCCGACTCGGAGGACCACTCAGCAGACGTGCAGGCATCTCAGCGTCTCGGTGGGCGCGACTCAGGTGGCACTGAGTATCTCGATCCTTTCGTGAAGAGGACTGTCGGTAGCCCGGTGGTAACAACCCGTCGAAACACTTGTTCGGAAGATTGCCAGCCACATGCCTGTGAGGGGGACATGAGCCCGAAGATCCATCCTGCAAACGGTTGAGTGAGGGAGAAGATCCCTAGAATTTCGCTTAAATTGCACGATGAACTACCTCACCTGAAACGGCCCAGATTGACCGGCCGGTAAGCAGCTTTAGACAAAACCCGCTCTCTCAACAATACTTGATTATTTCCCTACCATTTTCGAAGCCTCCTCACCGGGCTATGTGCATGTTGATAAGCGGGCTCACCCTACCCTCTCCACCCGATTCCCCTCCACCCCACCGCCGGGCCCAGGCCCGCAGCAGGATTTGTTCTACCATGTACCCCTCAGTCGAGCGCCTGTTCCATCAATAGGTTCGGTGGTGTAGTTGGTTTATCACGTCAGTCTAACACCTGATATCTCCTCAGGAGAGTTAGTGTTCACTGAAGGTCGGGAGTTCGAGCCTCCCCTGAATCAGTTTTGCCTAATTACCAACCCTCAAGATTCACATTATTTTGGCATTAATCCTCTCTCATCTTGTCATTTGCCTGCTGCTTCTCCCAAACGCTGCCTAGCTATGTGGACATGAGGTGTGTCTATCAACACTTTTGAGACCCCAAATCCTCCACGGATGTTCTCGTTTGCCACGTAACGCTTATCACCACTGTGGTTCGCTCTTAGCAGAATGACCGTTCCATGTATCTACGAATGATGACATTCGACTAGAAAGCAACGAATCCAGCCACCATGACAACAATCAAGACAGCATAGCCCTTGAACATCGCTTGTGCCGCTATGGACTTATTATCCTCCTCCTCTTCCTCCTCAATTGCCTCATCAAGCTTGTAGCCTGCGTTGAAAAGCAGCTTTCCACCTTCTACGCCGTTGACTGTTGTGCTGTTCTCTCGAACAATTGAGCCCTCGAATGATAAACTGATCCTCAGGGTCACGTTCCACGGTCTCAATCCCTGACCTTCGTAGGCTGCAGATTGCATCGGGTTGAAATTCGAGAGTTCAAAGGGCTCGCGCTCATCGGGGGAACATCCGCCCTCCCGTTCTCCCATCCAAGGTATCGCCTTGTCGAGACTGTTGTTGAGCGTGAGGGTCATCTGGTCCGCGCCGATGCCGGCCATCTCCATGGTTGCGCCCTTATCTAGCCAAAACGTCGGGTTTGACGAGTACCAGATGCGCTCGCCATTCTCATCAAAGCCGTCATCGTCTTGTCTCCTCCTCTTCGCTCCGTCGGACCCCCGGACCGTGTCGATGTCCTCTTCATCTTCATAGTATCTCTGATTCATACTGCAGACGCTCTTCACCGTGACATACTGGCTTGTATGCTTCCCCGGCCGCGGGAAGGAGCCAATGTAGTCCTTGCTATTGATGATGGGTGGCGCCTGGGCGTACTCTGCTTGCGCAGAAAAGGTGCCGTCATCCTCGGCCGTGATGTTCGTGGGCCAGTACACGCGCGTCGTCTCCTCGAGGTCCGTCGCGTCCGAGTCGTCGTACCGGTTGGTCCAGTAGGGCGAGAAGACCGTGTTGTACTCGCGCGTGTAGTTAGAGATGACGAAGTCGCTTGACCGGATGTACACCCAGCGCTGCTTAAAGTCGACGGCGTCCCGGAGGGCGTGGTACTCGTGAGCCGGTTGGAAACCGCGCAAGACCCAGTGCATCGGGTTCGTGTCCGACTCGTTGCCCGTCGGGGCGATGAGCACGAGCGCCGGGTACCTGCTTGTCTTCACGTCCCTGTCGTCGTTGTCGCAGACGTCGATCGGCTCCGACTCCTCGTCCCAGACCGTGTTGTGGGTGATGTGGTGGCGCACCGTGAGGGTGCCGTTGTAGTAGAGACCTGGCAGGCCAAAGGTTTCCAGGCGGGCAAAGTAGCCGCAGGGCGCCGAGTTGTCGGGGCGGGACGAGCCGTCATCGGTGCCGCTTCCACTGCCGCTGCCGCTGTCATCACCGCCGCTGTCACCGCCTCCACCACCGGTTGAAGAGTCATCGTCGTCGTTGCTGCTTCCACCTCCGCCCCCTCCACCGCCGCCGCCCTTTCTCTGAGCTGCAGCTGAGCCGGCGAGGAGACAAACTAGAAGCCTCAATGTCGATGAGCGATGCATGGTGGGCTGCGGAGTCTGAGGCAACGTCTGTCGGCGAGAGCAGGTTGCTCTCACAACGGGATGTCCACCCTTTAAGCTTGACAGGATCTGCCTTGCGCCGCCACTGGCAGCCTGGATGCAGCTCTAATTCTTTGGGTTGGAGATCATATGCCTTGAGAGCCATGCACGGAGCATTATTTAGGCCGTATGACCCTGTCCAAGAAGCTTCTTCAGACGTTAGCCCATCCAGACACCCCCTGCAATGGCCGGGGTGGCTGTCTTACAGGTGTGCTAGCTCGCATCAAAATAGCGCCAACGAGGAATTGCGGTGTCGAGCCCCATAACGCTATGCTGTACATTCTCTTGAATGCCAAAGATGTTCGGATCATGAAGTAGAATTGATTATTTCTGGGATCTTCATGTGACCCATTTTCTTCAGGCAGACGGCAAACATAGTATGGCTTACTTTGAAGCGAAGCCAAGGAATCTTGAGCACGATGGAGTAGAAACATCCTGTACCATTCGAGTCGCATGAAAGTGAAGATCTGCGTGGAGACAACAACTAGTAAGGCGCGTGAGATGACAAGGTGCAGTAGTCGGCGCCACATGCAGGGTCCGATTACACAACGGTGACCAGTGAAGCGCTCTGAATGATTGTCAATGGCCAGGAATACGATGGAAATCATCGGAGGCGGGAAATAGGCCCGTGAATATCCTTGATTTCAAATCGCTAAAGTTTTCAAGGCGAGCGATGTAGAGGCCCTGAAGTCGTGATGAGTCAAGTGCAGTACCTCAGGCGAGCGCAGCATGTGAATCATGATTTTCCTCATATTCAACTACCAAAGCTTATTTCGATGACAAGATCTCCAAATCATTGAAGAAGACGAGTCTCGGGGGGACCCAAGTAAGACTCTGGCACCCTGCCCTGCGTGGCAACCACAATCTTCTCAAGATAAACCTCGGGCGAGTTTGCCTGCCATCTCAGCGTGTGTTTTCCAGGCGCAAGGTTACCAAGCGCAACGGTCTTCTTCCACACATGGTCCGCCACACCTGCAGTCCACTCTGGAGGCGTATCGCCCGCCTTGGCCGGCTGGCCCAGGACGCGCGTGAACTTTGCCGCCGCGTCATCAACCGACAGAGAGAACTCCATTGGGGTGTCGGGGTCGGTGTCCAAAGCACCGTTGATGTAAGCTGTCGCGTTGACCTGGTTGCGCGTAGCCGCGCCGAGAATGTAGATGTCATATTCTAGCCAAGCCTTCTTGGCATCCTCTGGGGCCTTCTTTGCGGCGGCGTACGGGCGTAATGCGACGGAGCCGGATTCGGATCGGGAGCCTAGGCGAGGCGCGTGTTGGAAGCCAATCTCATCGCCGCTGGCTTCGCCCGATGACCTTTGGTGGTGGGGTCCTTCGATTGAGATGTAACCGTCAGTTTCAGGGAAGCCATTGAAGTCTGCGGGAGCGTTCAAGTTGAGTATGGGCAGGTGAACAATGTCAAAGTATGGCTCTGGTTCCCAGGAAACGCGAATTTCGACCGTTTTACTGAGCCCCGACGGCACAGACGCCCAGTCGATGCTGACATCGATGCGTGCCTCCGGTTCGTCGGCCGTGACTTGGCCCGACGTCTTGGAAAATTTGATCCACGGCTCGGCCGTACCCACGGACCAAGGGATCGACTTGCGCTGGTCGCCGCGGTGGAACAGGTCGATGAAGCGAGACTCGGGACCATGAGGTTGCATGAGGCGCATCCTCGGCGAAAAGCCGTCTTTCGTAGGCAGTGAAGGGTTGATAGAGGCGCAGATGCCGCCCTGCGTCAGCGCGCTACGCGATTGCTCGACGTATATGCCTAGGTTCCCGAAACCATAGTCAAAGTCCTGGCGGAGCTGGACGAAGGACAAGTTGGAGAGGACGTCCCGCGACGACGGGCGCCAGTCGGCAACGCTCATATCGAACTTGGGCGTCGCCATGATGCCTTTCCATTTGCCGCCGGCGATGCGGTCGTATCTCTGTACCAGATCGTGGTCATTCTCAAATTCGTCGATCAGCCTGTGAGCAACGGCGTTGGCCGAGTTTCGCCGCTCGAAGCCGTACTGCTGGTTCTTGCCCTGTCCCAGAACGATCGAGATGTAATTATGCCCAGCCAACGCAGGATACAGAAGCGTGTGGTAGAGAGCGTCACGGCGATTGCGAGGTAGCCTATCACTGATCGACTGAGCTAGATCAGCGAGTGACTTCCAGGCTTTGACCATGTTGTCGGCCTCCTCGAAACTCAGCTGGGAGAATGTCGTGGGCTCGGTCGTCTCAAACTGCCGCATGCCGATCAGATGGCTATAGGCCAACCAAGCCGACGCGACGTCCTTGGCGACTTCAGCGCCGAAGTCTCTCTCGGCCAGGGTCTCGAGATACTGTGGTAGGCTGTCTAGGTCGAAACGTGTCTTGTTCCATGCGAGATCCATCGCCAAATTGATAGGAACCTCAAGAGGTTTAATATCGCCAACATTAAGCACCGAGATGCGATCTGCTCCGCGCTCGGCAGCTTGAAACAGCTCTTTGTATACTTTGGGCTGTGATAATTGTCAGCCGGTGGCGCGCTTTCCGAAGAATTTGGAAAGCAGTGATCTCTTACCAAATTGTTGCAGTTTTGCCACTTCCAGCTCTTCGGTCGTCCAACGTAGGCAAAGTGATAGTACAGCTGTAGAGAGTCACGGATTAATCAACGTTCTGGACGTTTTCAGGCATCAGGACAGGGGCACAAATGTGCTTACACCAATGCCTCCAGATCTTTTCCGCTCCTCTTCAGTTGGCAAGCGCTGCACATTACCCCAGTTGTCGTCGGTAAACATGAGCGTCACATCGTCAGGGGGCGTCAGGCCGGCGGCGTAGTAGGTCGCAACCTCCTTGTAGATGGTCCAGACCTCTGTATGCTTGTGTCAGCCCAAGCTGCAATCTGTACAGCCATAGGGTCCAACTTACGTCGTGCGGCCGTCTCGTTGCCGTAGTGCTTAGCCAACAGCCTGCGCTGTGTCTCAAAGACATCCTCGAGGACAGCGATAGGATCGGCTGCGTTAATTGGTCCGTCATTCTCGCCGCGCATGCCCAGCGTGAAGTACGTCTCGTTCTGGCCCGCGCGCCGAATTCCCTCATCCATGAACTTGACGACATTGTCCTTGTTCTCTACCCAATTCCATTTGCCTGCCGGGTTGAGAGTCCACTCGTTCGACGCCCGTTGCATGGGTTCGTGGTGGCTCGTCGACACGACGATGCCGTAGTCGCTCGCCAGCTGCTGGCTCCGGTTGTCGTCGGTGAAGAAGATGCGACCCGGCTTGGGGATGAAGCTCGCCCACATGGCGGGCCAGATGAAGTTTGCCTTGAGGCGGAGAAGCAAGTCGTAGACGCGCTCGTAGAATTCGGCGTCGAAGGTGTAGTCTGTTCTGTTTGAGTGGTTCGCCCACCAGCCGGTCAGAGCAGGGGCTTCGTCGTTGATGAAGATGCCGCGGAATTTGACGCTCGGCTCGCCAAGGGTCACCGTCTTGTCGAGGGCGTAAATCCTCCTGTGCTTGGTTACGGGGACGTCCGCCCACCAGTGCAGGCTGCGATCGCGTCTTGTTAGCAAAAGTTGATACAGAAATCGTCCATGGTAAGAGACCCATGATGTGCGGCTTGAAGGATTTGACTCACGGAGACTTTCCACTCTGTTCCGACAATGTGTAGATGCCAAACATGGCACCGCGCATGTCGCTGCCGGCGATGACGAGCGCATGCTGAACGCCTGGCAAAGGATCCTTGACCAGGGTGGTGTGAAAAGACTCCCACTTGCCACGAAGATCTTCAACATCGACCTTCTTTTCGCGCTCGAGGTTCTGCAGTAGCGGGGAGTCGACGGTGGCGGCAATAATGACAGCTTGGGGAGAAGTACGAGAGCCAGAGTCGCTGGTCTGGTTGGCGGCTCGCCATGCTTTGACGGGTGGCTTGCGGCCCGTGATTTGCTCCAAGTCCTCGGCCAGACTATTTACGGCAATCTTGATACCGATCGGATCATTATCGTCGTAAAGGATTGTGGCGCTGTGGATTTCAACGGCCCCGGCGGATGGCTCAAATCCGACGAGCTTTTCTTGGATACTCGCAGCGACAAGAAGCGGCAAATTCAAGAATTGCAAAAAGATCGCAGCCAGCAGGATCACGGCCCTCGATGATTGAGCCATGACAGAGTCGCGATTCACAGATTCTGGGGAAAGCTGGTGTGCTACATGTGTCTCGTATTGTCTTGAAACATTTATGCCTGGACCCCAGCATTCTTATGTGCCCCAATTGCCTGCCCCAATAGCCCTTCGCTGGAATCGCAGCTTTGCAGGACGATAGAATTATCTCATGCATGCTGCCGATCATCATGCTGGCCTCAATCAAGTGGGCAGATGTCGACATTGTGTCCAGAGCACAGAAAGTAACAGCGTCGCAACAGGGGCTCGGCCTGCTTTGACCCGCAGACGAGATACGATTCGCCTGGCCAGAAAGAACGTCATATCCGGGGCGAGGGTTGAGTGCGGAGTGTGAGAGCAACATTAAGGTTGGTGTGTACCCCCGCAGTGAATGGAAGATGCGGGGGCGGAAAAGCGTCTTCGTATTTCGGAGGTTTCTTACAAGACCAAGATTGGTGGACCAAACCGGGGGAAACGTCCTATCTCAGCCTCCCGCGATGAGATGAGCCGACGGTCTTGCGCTACTACGGTATCACTTTGCCATCTCATTTCGGACTTCACTTCTATTCGCAGGTTGCAGTGCAGGTTCGTTGTAGTGGGTCACTGACCTGGGGAAGCTGTTGCGGGGGGGTTGTCGATCAGGGCCATGGAGGGGGCCATGGAGGAGGCCTTTGGGATGCTCGTCCCTTGGACCAGCAACATTCTATGTGTAGCATCACAGGTCTCAGCGTCGACCTCGTGCTGCAAGACCAGGGCTCACAGGCGTGGTATGTATCGCAGTTACAGGAATGGTACTCCAACTTAGTTTACACAAAATGAACTTGACACATGGGGTATACTGATGAGTGTCTCGTCAGAGAGGGAGCCAGAGTCTTCTTCAGGTCCTTCCCTTCATCCGTTCTGCCATCTTTTCTTTCGTCCTCTCTTCATCCTTGCCTCCATGCGTACTTCCCTTCATTTCTTCCCTTCACCCGCAGTTCTAGATGATGGGCAGACTGAATGCTGAGTCCCAGCACAAATCTAGTTAGCCAAAGTCGACTGGTCGGAGCCCACAGAATCCACAAGGCGGGGTGGTCGAGCTCCTGCGGGTGGGAGGACGGCAGGGATGGCGATGGCGGCTGCGGGGAATGGGGTTAGAGGCCGAGGACCAGACCGAATGCGGACCTCGACGCGGGGCCCGAGACGGACAGGGACAGGGATGGTCAACTCGGTGGACGAGGAAAGTACACTCGGAGAAGGACCTCCACGGACGCCGCCAGCCAAGTTGTCAAACTCAACGCCATCGTCGTAGCGAGCAACGGGGGCGCTGGCGAAGAAGATGCCTGCCACGGCAACATAGGTGAATGCCAGGACGACCGGAGCAATCATCGTGGTGGGTCGGTATTTGGCGGGGTCTGCATAGTGAACTGCCATGACCACGACTGCCGAGACTCCAAGGCCAATCAGAACCACGACTGTCACTACAATACGAATTACTCTGGGGTTGCGGTCCCGGAGACAGCTGTTGACGAAGTTTGAAAGAGACTGACAGAGCTCTGGTCTGTTGCGAGCACCTTGGCTGTTCAAGATGGGAAGAGAGTCTTCTGGGTCCTCGGTGGGGTGGCTTGCATGTGGTGTATTGAAGAAGCTCCTGCGTATGTTCACCAGCTCTGGAGTTGTAATGCGCCTAGGGAAGTTGCCAAGAAGTCGGTCTTCGACTGTCTGGGCCGGGGCGGTGTCCCTCAGAGCCATGAGCAACGTCTCGATGGCGGGGGGGTTGTGCGAGATTTCCTGGTCACCATGGGCTCCACTCTCTTCGTTTGCATCGTGGGCCGGGAGAGAATCGGAAACCAAGCTCTGGTCATGTTGAAAGTCCTTCTCGGCAGCTGGGTGATGAGCTGAAGGAAGGCGCGGTTAGATGCTTTCAGGCCACAAATGAACCATCGACAAGAAGGAACTCACCAAGAACTGCCAAATCGCGAGCAGGAATAGTGAGAGAATCGATGCGGGCAAACATCTTTTTCTCCCGCTCATGGAAATCATCACTGTCTCTTTCGTTGTCACTCTTGCTTGCATGCTGACTCGTGCTGTCAAGGGTCCCACTGCGGGACGCAGTCGATCCACGAGGCGTGGCATTCTGCAGAGGCCAACGAGCCCGCGAGCTTGGCATTTTGGCAGCATGATCCAAGAGGGCATACTGTGAGAGATGAGATCCCTGCACCGAGCCTTGCACGTGAAAGTACTGGCCTTGTTCGGAAGAGGTCGTGAACGATGCTGCAGCATTGCAAGGAAAAGTGCTCTGGTCATCCTGAGACGTGCTGCCTCCGATTGGACCACTATCATGAGTGACACCATGTATAGCTATATCATGATGATAGCCGCCTCCACGTTCGTTGGCGGGCTGAGAAGCCTTGATTTTGATTTCATCGTCACTGCCCGACTGGGAATCCTTCAGCTGACGAGGGGGGCTGGAAAGCTCCGCGATGCACTGTCGACAGTGGCAACCCTTGGCATGCGAAAGACACTCCATGGTAACTTTTGATGCAGGCTAGCAGTTCTCTTTATGGCTCTAAGCAATACCTGACGGCGCTGGAACGTCAGTAAGGTCGATTCGGCCGCGTGTATCAAGTCAATAAGTTCTTTACCACTATGTGCGCAGGTGCAACAACTCGTGAATTGCCTTCTTCAACTCAATTAACTACTTAATACGGGAATATGTTAGTGATCATTCATCCTGTGTTCTTCAATCCAAAAGCACACTCAAGCCTTATGCGGGCTTGAGGCATGAGCGGCATGGAACTGTTACACAAGTTCGGAAAGCGGAGAAGTCGTACATACGTGACGGAGCTACAGCTTGTTGAATGGTTGCTCGGAATCAGGAAAGATTCCCGATGACCGCATGCGAGTGCTTTGGATGTCAACTGAATCTGCGTGATGATTGCGCGGGAAATCGGCGTCGAGAGCCTTCAGTTTGGTGATGCGCAACTGCTATGCTTAGTCGCTTTGCGGGTGGGGAGAAGTAGGAGGGGAGACAGAAGCAAGACCTGGCGTGCGGTCTTGTTGATGCCTTTTCGTGGGTGTTATTTTAGCAGGCAAGAACGCGTTCTTGCCTAGGCCGTAACCCTCTGATTCATAAATGCCTTGTGTCCTGAGACCAGGGTGCAGAACCTATGAACAACATCATCCTGTTAATGTTACTGGAATCACAGCTTTCTGCCAAAGGTTCAGCTTATCCTGATGAAAGGCTCATACGATTGCATGACCGTGGCAATTGAAGTAGCCCTTTTTAAATAGTATAATTCATTCCATGGTGAATAATGATCCCATATCTGTATGATAATAGGCCTTAAAGCGCAACAAGGCTTTCAGACCTTGTACAGCAGCCCACGCACGCGACCATAAGGGATGTCCACCCACCTTCCTAGATAAACGGCACAATAAGACCAGACAATCAATTTTAAGACCTCCTCCACGGCCGGAATCGGCTTCCAACATGCCAATCTCTGTATTGCCCCGATTCGCATCTGCCAGTATACTCGTAGTCGTTCTTCCCATAACCTGATCCCGGTTGAATGTGATCAGAAGTGCTCCATGCCTTCTTGTGTTTCCCCTCATGCTTGTGCCAGTCAGTGTCCTGTCTTCTTCCTTCTCCCGCAAGGTACTCTTGGTGCAAGTTCTCCGCTTGTCGAGTTCGTTGCTTCGCTTGCAGGTGATCCATCTCATCCACCCTCATGTCTTTTCTGTAGAAGCTGTGGAGCTGATCAAACTCTTCGGACTCGCTGCCTCGGCCTTCGCGTCGCCGCCACTCTTCCAGTCCACCCACACGCCGATCGCCCCTCCTTTCCAAGCTTCGCAGATAACGCTTCCATGCTCGCCACAAATCTTCAAAATGCTCGACTGCCACCTCGAGATTGTCTGCATGCTCCTTAGAGTTTTCGACTTTCTTCTGCCACTCGCACCTGCAAAAGCCATGTGCATATCTGTGTTTCTTGTCGTGCTTACGGGCAGTGTAGAGCGCCTTGTCGATTTCCAGCACGGCGTGGTCGAGAATGCGTCCGACTTCGAGCATCTCGTCCCGAGCCCGCCGAAACTCGACGCTCTCAATCGGACAAGTACATTGCTTCGAGCCGCCGGATCCAGAGCTTATGGGGAAAATGTTGTCGTCAAAGATAGGTAAGTCGCGCCAGGACGAGCCGCGTTCGTGCTCGCTGAAACGCACCCTGCGTGATACATGTGCCTGGATATGCATGTGGTAGATAACGGGTTCGCGGCATCTTCGGTGGCAATCGTAATGTTGAACTGTCCGGATGCAGCAACCGTGATGGCGGCAGCGGCTCTTGGATGGGATGTGGTAATTTGGCTTACAAACACACGGAATCGGAGAGGCGTATGGGTCAACAAGAAGGTTTCGCCCGTCACATATCACGGGTCGCGTATCGCACGTTAAGGTGTGGGTGTAGACACGGTAACACATCTTCGTCAGCGATGGTGTTTGTGACCACGTTGTGAGTGCTTGATCGAGATGAAAAGAAGATGCGAAGGAAGCACCGTCGCCGGAAGTGACAGATGAGCTGGGTTGATGTACTTGGGACATTCTTTTGACTCAAAACTGCTTGATTTTGCTGTCTTTTTGGTTGGGTTTAGTGTCAAATGCCCCTGAACAGGGCTATTGTGTTGGCGGGCGTGGCTTTGACTCGAAAGTCAAATGCTGCCAACAACACAAAGGCACACAGTTCAACCTGCAAACCATCTTTGTATGGCGCCTTCCGAGTCGCTAAGACGTTGGATAGCATAAGGGCCTCAAAGCAAATCTCAGCAAACGCATGTTTAGGACTGGCTCGTGCTGTCGCTTTCGTCCGTTGCTTTTTTTGCGCCGTCGACCAACTGGTGATCAGTTGGAGTGGCGAAGTAGTGGGCGCATTCTTCGAAAGGTTTGCCTACATTGTAAAATTCCGAGCCAAGGACCGCCCTTTGTCATCAAAAGGTCTTGCCAGGCGATCGCGGTACGTGCAAGCTGCTCCCTGTATCTCCATTCTGTACTGAAATCTACCCAAAAGCAACCCAGTCCGCACCGACAGTGTAGAGCTGGCTGTCACCCCATGAACTACCATGCCAAACAAACCCCGACGCATCCACCTTCTCCGCACTCACCGCGACCCGCAGATTGCCTGAGCAGTTCATATCCAGCTCATTGATTGCCACGAAGACCTTCGGCGCCCTGTCAAATGATTTGGGTGGGAACTTGATCTTCTTGAAGTTCTCGGCGATGGGTGGGAACCACTCTCGAATTTCCCTGGTGCTAACCCTACCACTGGCAACACCCTCATGATGTTTGGGATAGGCAGCCCATGACGCAGTAGCGCTGTAGAGCAGAGTATCGCCCCAGGATTCAATAGCGAGGTCGAAACCAGAAGAGGTTACGTTGACAGCGCTGGCTCGCACTCTCCAGTTGCGTTCTTTGTCAAGATCAAGTGCATTGAGCCAGACAATAATATTGGGAGGCTCAGTATATTTGTCGTCGGAAAAGGTAAAACTCTCTATGTCGCGACGCACTCCATCATCCCCAGGCACTGCAAGCGTACCGACAGACCGGTTATACAAGGTGTTCAGTTCGCCCGCTGAAAGAAGCAACTGATGTCAGCAAATTGGATTACGAAGTCCTTGCTGTTTATCAGGTACGATTAAACAGCTGGGTGTACTCACTTTCATAGTCTGAATCGGCGGGCGAGAATTCAATCCATGTCGGTGTTGCGTTGAAGAGTTGCGTGTCGCCCCAAGAATCCACATTCAAGATGAATTCGCCCTCGCTTACCTTGTCAGCAGCAGTGCGAATGCGGATGTTCGCGGCATTGCCCAAGTCGAGCTTCTTCAAACCTAGAGTCATGCGTGGAGGAGCAGTGTAGGGCGGACTGAATTGGATCGCTTTAGAGTTGAGCGGTGCGGGAGGATACCATGATCGGATATCAGGATCAATGCTCAATTGTCCTTCGTTGCGCGTCTGGAAAGGGTCAACCTTGCTAATGAAGCTCTTGTCCGTCACTGAAAGACCCTTGTTCTTTGGAGCTGACGTTCCATCAACTGTCCATTCTGGAGGGTAGTAGTAACACATGATTGAGCTGCTGTCGAAGTCGGACTTGCGCAGTATCTTGATGTTCCTCTCTTTGTCAATAATCTGCGTGCGGGTAGTAGCCTCGGACCATTTGTAGTCCCTCTTACAGTCGGCTATGACTTTCTGTTCATCCCACTGAATGGGGTTGGCCTGATGTTCATGGACGCAGCCAATGACATGGCCAAACTCGTGAGTAATGACACGGCAGAAGTCGTCTTCTTCGCTGTTGTCGTGCAGCTCACCAAAGTTGACGGTGGCTGTGTTCTGACCGAGTCTGAACTTGCGCGCATTTTGTCCAACCTCAGACCAAGTGCCGAGGTCGTTGTGCCTTGGGCATAGTGTGATTAACTGTGACGCCATTTTGATTTATTGCGTACTTGGGCTGGAGATGCTCACCATTGAAAGCCAACTCGGATATCAGCATCGCCTTCCTTGATGAAGCGGAAGTCAATGTTGGCGAACTTTTCCCACGTCTGAGCATAAAATTTGACCCGATCATGCAGCTTGATGGTGCCGTTGAGAAACTTGACCGTGAGTTTCTTGCCTTGAGGCCACCACAAACTACTATCCACCGCCAAGTGGCTTGGGTTGCCATCCTGCGAAACGAGGTTGCCACTGGGTTGACTGTCGTCTTCCCCCAATCTGGCATCCGCAGAACAAAAGGAAAAGCTTACACGTGAATGAGACATGCTAGTTGCCTCTCCTCCGGGGCGAAGATACTTTGGAGATCCCTTGAGGAGAAATGTTGGAGTGAGCGGGCTTCTTCCGGCTTATAGTCACCACCGCATGCTGCAGGCTGCGGTCCAGATTCTCATGGCCATGATTGCTTCACTTGGGCGTCCAGGATGCGAACCTCACCTGCTCCAAACACTCGAACCACAGTTTCTTCTGCCGATCTTCCACTTCAACCTCCCACGTCACTCTCACGCCATCTTCAATGAACATGACGGCTTCATTTCGTCTTTCGGACGTCCCAACATTCGGTCGCTGTCGGGCTTCTGAGTTTCTATGATTTCATGACCTTGCTCTTGGTGAAACTCGGCGGATAAGCGAAAAGGCTGAGGCCGCCGCCATAAAGGCATACAGACAGACGCAAGGGACAAGCCGCTGTGGGCCATTCCAGTGGGGCTTGTAAGCCACCGGGCCGTCCCGCATGTAACCCGGATATATTCAGCTCTACTCAGGCAGACTATCCCTTCCAATTTCAGATCGGCGAAGCAGCACATGCTTTGTTGACCAATCAAGCCAATACACTCAGCATTGCCTCATCTGCAAGATACCAGCTAATAGATCCGACCACGTCATGTTCTGTGAACTTCACTTGAGCGTACTGCCGTCAACTCTGTCACAAATCAACTGAACATCCACACCGACAATTGGTATGGTGTTTCTTGCAGATCATTAAGAACATACAGACTTGGAGGACCTGAAGTCTAGACTACATGTGATGATCTTCTCCCGAATGCAGAGGGACTATTGATGACGGAGATGTGCATACTCTGGCATTTGCTCCGCACGAATAGGAGGCTACCAAGAAGCTTAAGTCAAGGCGATTGTGTGGACATAAATTTACCACTGTAATGATTCGAAAACATTCATTCGCTCTTGACAAGCGCTGCATGCTGATGAATGTACATCGAACGCATCAGCCATATCCAGGCGCTACGAACCACTATGGCCACACAGTACAGCAGGATGGTGACATCTTGTGTACCACTCCAGTTCTGGGATCAGCCCTGTAACATTTTTCTCGACTGAGTTTGGCATCTTCGCTTCAGAAATCTCGATGAAAAGAGCTCTGACTCTTGTTGGCTGTATTCGATGCAAAGGCTGGATGATGTCTTGCCAGCAAGGGTGCAAACTTGCTCAGGTGTGTTATTCTCAGATGTGATATGCTGTCTGTGTACACGCAAGGCCGAAGCTGATGACGTGGCGGATGTTCTAGACCGTGACTGCGGGCAGTTTGCCTAATCTCGTGATAATTTGGACCTGCAGAGGCCGTTCAAACTGTTATAAATGGCCAGCCATTCCCGAGAAATTTATGGTATCCTCTTTTGCATCAATCTCAAAGAATCCACCAAACCATTTCAGCTCCTGTCATCCAATCCCCAATATTGCACAATGTCTTCCTCTGAGCAGACCGTTGGTAGGTTCAGCCACTGACCCATCTTTGTGGAATACGCAGCTCAACAATCCTCACAAATAGGCGCCATTGTTAGCCTCACTCCTCCCGAGGATGGAGACAACACCTGGACCGCCGATCAAGTAAACCTTGCTCGCAGCCTCCCTCCTGGGGACATTCAAGGCCGAGTTGATATCGACTGGGGCTTTGGTCCCGTGAAGGTACGTCCAGGGTATGTCTTACAAGATCCGTCTAACATTTTTAAAGATCACTGGTTATGTCGATACCAACACTTTTGAGATTGGAGTCAGTGTCAGCATTCTCGGCATCAACGTTGGTAACATCTTTGGAAACCTCAAAGATGGCGTTGGTTTGAACATCAACCTTTTCCTCGCTTCCGGCTCCATCAAGTTCTATTTGAAGAACGGGAACGAGGTTTGGGTGCACCTTGACATCAAGGTCAAGTTTGACGGACATTTCGAGGGTGACTATAAGATCATCACCATCTAAAGTCGTGCGCTGTCACTGCATCATACACAAAAAGGTTTCCGTCCGAGGCTCGGTTTTGACGCCGCCACTCATTTAGATCAATATTGTTGGTTTTTTCAACGCAATGAATGAAACACACATTCCCTCGCTCACAGTTTCTGTGGATTGCTTGACTTCTGGTTAATGATCATGATCATCGTTGGACTTTTTTAAGATTTGTGAATAATCTGATAGAAATCCACAAGTACTTCGGTGAATGAATATGCCCGTTCTACTTTTGATACTCTATACAGAATTAATTCTGAAGGGATATCTTCTTCACTGTCTGGTGCCCAAGTAAAACGGTTCTCGCCTTTGCCGGGCATCGAACGTAGTTCCACACAACAAGCGCTACTGTCAACTTGAAATGCTTGTGGGTTTCCCTGTCACCAGTTCAATAGATAACGACGCTAAAATGAACGTGGAATGGGAAGCGAGATGATCGAGAATAATTTGCAGCCTACTGGCTTACTATGCTGTCAGCTTCGGATCACACGGCTCCTGTCTTGGCACCGCCGCAATGGCTTTTTTGTCAGCTTGCGAGCACAACCAGATGAAACCACTGGGATTTGTATTCGATCATTGCTTTCTCGACACTCTTCGACCTTTTTGGCTATCGTCGTATTTCTCACAAGCAGCACACTCCAACATGGCAGGTGCGCGCGTTGACCCTGACTGCGGAACAAGAGAAGAGGACTGGTTCGATCCGGACGCAGACTCCGATGCAGATGATTACGCTCAGAATATGGAGCGTGTTGAGGCTGCTGCA